TAGCTATCATCATTTCCTCCCTTCTGTTTCTTTCTTTATAAATATTTGTCTGCTGGTATGCATTTATCTATCACCAGCTTATGTTAGTATTAAATATACAATGTATTCTGATAACTATCAAAATAAAGACATTGTATAGTGTTCATAACAGTATTTTCATTTAATAAATTATACTTAATACAATAATATTACAAAAAAAACCTACATCTAAATAAATATATCATCTAAAATAGATGCATTTGATNGCCTTGCACAATTTCTCAAACGCTCTTATTTAGCCATCAACTTTTAGATTTAGCTTGAGGTTTTTTTAGGCATGTGGAAACTAACAATGAAGACAATAAAGATGAATACTTGATTCAAAAATAGTAAATACATATATTATTAACTTAAGTTAACAAATTGTGAACAAAATTAACATTGCTTTTTATTTAAATTAAATCAATAATATTTCACATCAAAAGAAACAACAATATTTTAACAAATCGTATTAAATAATCTGATGACAGAACTGTAAACAGAATAGCTGAAACTTTAACAAAATAAAGAGTAACTCTGTTACCTCTAATCATTAACCCATGTTTGTATAATTGAGTTAACTCTGTGTGTTGCTGCTAGCATACATAATATATACCTGACGTGGAAACTTTACTCGTGGATGGGGCTACAGAGCTACTAGAAAGACAGTCGAACCCGGTGCATTCCTCCGTCTGAACGTGGTGCACTTTTGCTAAATGTTTAGACAAATTGCTCGTGTTACCGCCCTTACATGCTAAACACTCTTGGCAAGGAGCATTGTTCACCTCAAGACGGGTAACATTTAACCACACCTTGGAGCGCTTCTCTCCGCCATCTCCTCCGTGTGTTCCTGCATGTCGCAGCTGCGTGTGTGTAAACTGCCCCGCCCCCTCGCACACAGACGGGGGAGAGAGAGATCTCATCTCGATTTGGAAAGATAAAAAATACACCGACCATAGACGTGCGAGATAATGTTTGTGTAGCAATAATACATGACCTTTCTCTTTCTCAACTCGCTACTAACTCGGAGGGAAGTCGCTGTCATATGCCTTGTGAACGCTCCGATAATGCCTCTTATGTTACCTTTCTTTGGCAGAGCGACGCTTGCTTTACAAATAAGGCAAATAACCTTTGAATGTGACATCACAAAAAAATATTCTTCCTCCCATTCTGGGTGGAAGTGGTATGTCTTTAGCTTTTTGCTCGGTCCCGCACTCATTTTGTTGTTTGTCTCTTTAACTTAATTTGAGTTTTCCTGTCCCAGCCACTTGACTGATTTTGTATCGCTTTGCATTCTGGGTTAACAGACTGGAAAGCGATAGGTCGCTTTTTCTGTCAATCAAGTAAACTCCTGAATTAAGTGGCAGGGAGGCCAAGAGGAGGAGGGATCAAAACCTGTTTTGTCTATTTTAACGGAGCTGGATTTTTTTTTTTATATGAATGACTCGTGATCTACCAGCATTGCCCGGACTGCGGTCGACGTACTGGGCACCTCTGGTCTAGTGAATCGTTATTTTAGCGCTGGAAATGTCCTTGAAACAGTTTTTGTTGAATTGTACTTGCTACACAAAATTCAAAACGTTTATCTGACAAACTTGCTTATTTATTTACAGGCTCTGACTTTTCAGCTGCATGATGGTGGTTTTCTTATCCTGTTGCACTCTTCTCATTTCCTCACATATGATGGTAAGATATGAAATTGATGACAAAGTTTTCAATCCCACACCAAAAGATCTTTGTTCGTAATTCAACTTCACATCAGCCACATACAGTATCTCCGTTTATTTCCCCAGATACTGGGTCCGATGGAACTGATGTCCTGCAAGGCATATTTGTGTTTCCAGTGTCACAAGTTATACGGAGAGGTAATTACAGCATATGTTTAACAGTGTATATTTTCATTTGATATGTTGAAATAATCATGAATACAAAGAAGATATCAAACTATTATTCTTGCTTGAATTTCCACAGACACAAAACTTGTTCAGCGAAAGCCTGCCATCTCAACTGACATCCTTCAGGTTCTACCAGTGCTAAGTTATGCAGAATGTGAAGTTGAGAAAACCCCGATTGACCCAGGCGAAGAGCTGTGTGAAGTCTTGGCGCAGCATATGCAGAGTTACGCAGCACTAATAAATCCTGGGTTTGCATCAATTTCATCCAGGGAAGTCAGCATCTTTCCAGATCAGTATGATGTACCGGTTGCCCACAAGCACCTCTACTTATCCCCGGAGTGGACTAACAGGGCATGGCAGAGCTTCAGGACTTACCTCAGCAAACCTCTCTCTTTTCAACTGCCAGTGTCCAAGGCTTCAGAAATCCTTGCGACTGGACGAGAGGATCGAATGGAAGACCTTGACAATGATGATGTCTACATATTTTGCTCATCTCCTGAAGAGGAACCAGCTGATTCTGTTAGCATGGAGTCAGAGGATCAGTTGACAGGACGGAGATCTCCTGTAAACGTTAAAACACTTGTTGACACTTGTATTAAAAATGCTGCAACACAAGTTGACTCTACAGATGTCTCTCAAAATGTTCTAGCAAATGATTTGCAAGCTGCAGATGTTTCCCAAGACACTGGCAAATTTGATCTGACTGTGCTGATCAAAGCTGATGAGATGGCGTCAAAAAGTCTTTTGACTCCTTCTAAATCAGATGACCTTCCTGCAGAGCTTATTGTCAGCATCACTTCTGCTGAGGGAACTGTCACTGATGAGGGTTTAAGTATAATCGGTACTGTATCTGCAACAAATCACAATGACTTTCATTTGTCTGGTTTTACAACAGACAAATTACAAACGGCAGGAGTGAACTCTCTGAATGATAAGACGGTTACAACCAAAAACATTTTGGATTGCCCAGAGGTCCCCAATCTCTCAAAAACTCAACGGAAGAAACTACGCAAGGTAAATTCCAAAGGTCGGGAAAAAAAAGTATCCAAAGCTTGTGTTGACCTTCCCAGTTTACAAGTACCAGAAGTGGATGACAACTTAAAGAGTCAGAAGGAAGGCCAGGCTAAGGAATCTTCAGACCAACCACAGTTGGGTAATCCTTCAAAAATTGATAGGAGGAAAGGTCGGCCAAAGGGCACATTAAAAAAACTGTCAGCAAAAGATGAGAAGGTTACATCTGCTTCTGTTGGATTAACAGTACCAGAGGAGAAAAAGATAGACCCTGGACAGCAGACCTTGGGAGGCAACATTTTAATGGAACTTGAAGCTTTACCTTTGAGAAGAAAAACCGAGCGCTGGGACTTAAAGCCAGTCATCAGTGAATGTGGAAGAATCTTGGTTCCTCATGGCTCTGTTGATTTTGCCGATCAGATAAGGTCTTTAAAAGATAAACTTCAATCTGATAAAGATGAACTCATACCTGAAAAAGTGTTGGCTGATGCCTCTGTGAATGCTCATGAGGCAGTCGAATCAGTGGGTGGAACAGAGGCCTCAACATCCAAAGATGGAGGGAACACCCTTCAAAACGCTGTTGACAATGAGGTCAATCCTGAACACAATATTTTAGGAGCATCAGAGGATGACAATGGTTTATTGACTCTGAATCGAGAGATTATTGACCATTCTTCAAAAACTGATGTCAAAGCAACCCCTCCCTCAGAAGTTGTTAAAAGAAAATACTTTCATACCCTTTCTCCAAAAAGGATTGCCACAAAGGGTGCATCTCTGTTGAGTAAATTAAAATCAGTTCTTCTAAGAGGAAAGCGAAAAACGGCTCTTCTATTGCCAGAGGAAACGACTGCAGATACTGCACAAACAAGTGAGCCCTGTCTCAAGAAGAGCAAATTTGACACAAGCGTTACAAGTGTCCAGGAAACCATTATGCATGTCGCGGAAGCTTCAAAGAGGCTGTCAGTTGACCCTCTTTTTGCATATGCCCTAGGCCTGACCCCTAAAGAGACACCAGATAATATACAGAAGACACAGGATCAGGAAAACCAACAAAGGAAAGAATCATCAGGGACACAAGTACAAACCATTTTGGACAACCAACCTCAAATCCTACAAAAGCCTCCATCAATCTTTCCGAGAAGGGGAAGGATTAAAATGCTCAAAAAGCACCAAGGCATCCCTACAGATTGTGTTAAAAAGAAATGTAAGTCTTATTTCAAAATTCTAAAAATTGAATGTTTGTTTTTTGTGCATGATGTGTGACATCTCTTCAGTATTATTAATGACATTTAAGTTGACTCTTTTCTTGGATCTTTAAGCTTTGCATCTGTCCTCGGCATGCTTTCGCTGCCCTTTGCTACTTCTTTCTTTGCTTATGCTTTTCTCTTGTTTGTGCTTCATTTTTGCCTGTTCATCTGCACCCAAATGTGGTGGTGTTGGCCAAATAAACAAATACCTTTTTTGAATAATTTTTAAATAATTACCTAGTTTGCAAGTTGGTGGCAGATTCCCAATAGATATACATTGGTATATTTCAAATGCTTTCAATGTGCTACTTTTTATTTTCATGCTGTTTTTTCTTTTTTCTCCTCTGTTTTGTCTTCACAGGGTGGTTGCATTTTCAAACTCCAGCTTGTTATGCCAGTGAGAAACTCAAATACAAAGAGAGTACTAGAGATAAATCTGTCAGGAAGACTGTTAAGGAAAAAAAGAACAGTACTTGCTCATCTACAGATGCTTTGAACTTACTTGCTGACTTGGCACTCAGTGTCAGTAATGAAAAGGTTCCACCACAACCAGATCCAGCTCTTGAGAGAAAACCTGAGACAAGTTTGAAGAAGTGTCACCTTACAAAAGATGTTACCAGTGCTGAACAAGAGTCAGTTCTTCATTCTCTGCTTAGACAGCCTGCTGCTAGACCCATGCAACCTCTTGAGTGTCCTTCTCCAAGCCACCCTGTGGGATGCAGTGAATTGGTTGATTTGATATCTAAAGAACATGCTTACTCATTGCCCCCGTCTTCCTCTCTACTGTTGGGTCTGTCAGGTACACCCTTCCAGGTTTCCCCTTTAAGTGGTTCTACCAGACTGCTGCAACATCAACAGAAAATGTTTGGTGATGGAATTAATACACTACACCCTACTGCCAAGAAATTAAGGACAGAACAAAACCACAGGACTCCTGAGTACCTGAAAATAAACAAGGTGTGCAGAATACAATTCAGAAACTCTCGTACCTTTGCTAACAAGGATGGATCTATCCAAGTCACAAAGCATTGGAAAGAAAACTATGACTTTGATCTGGACAGCAAGTTCACAAATGACTCAAAGGATAGAACTATCATCCGAGCCTTGCATGGGTATGTACATTGTGTTCAAAATATCCACACAACATTTTTAATGAATCTCTTCACATAGTTGAATTGCTGTAATTGTATCTTGCTAACAAATGTGGGCTATATACTTTAAAGTTGACTTTTAGTTCAGATTACATGATAATCAGTTATTCAACTGAAACTGTTAATATTTGTACATTTACATCTTCGATAGCCCATGGGATTTCTCCATTGAAGACGCCAGTGAAGAGGTGCGACTGATCGTCCACATGTGGATCGGTCTGTTCTACAGCCGGTCAACAGACAGGTTCTTTAATATTGACCTATGTTCAGAAGAGAGTGATTCTTTGGAAATGTCCTGTGGAATGGTGTCAGCAACAGCTCAGCCTGAGCTCAAGGTCAACTCATTGGTTCCTCTCCCAAGTGTAACAAAGACTGCAGACCCATTGATTCCCAATGCTATGGACCTCAGCAAGAAGGATGATTCTGTGTTACGGCAAGGATCTGTGATTTTGGACTTGTCAATGAGAAACTCCAGTGCAGAGATAGTCACTTCTGATTCACAAAACAGAATGAAAATTTTTGTATCCAGTAATCGGAAATACACCGTTGACACCTTGAACCCTCTCAAGTCATCTGCGGGACAACAGAAGACCATCACAACTCAGGTATGGTTCTAATTTTATTGTTTCTGCAATCTATCCTGCATTTTATGTTTTTGTCATGATTTATTGATGTTCTTTAAAATAATGAAATGTTATAAGATCTGATTTGTGTGCTTGTCATGTTATAATAGACATGCAAACATAGAAGTTGGAAGAGACAATCTACAGTTTTTTTCAGCAGAATGCATCTTAATGAGAGTTACAAGCTTTCTTAAATTTCCCTCAGACCTTTTGGCCACAACTCCAAATAATAATAATTGTGGACAGGGCCGTCCCTGGCCAACATGGCTAGTGGAGCCTCGCAGCGGCGAAACCGTGCCGCGACACACTAATTGCAGCGCATAGGTGCGCCGCATTTTCGGCTCAGTTGAGGCACCCTCCTCAAGATGAGGCCCCCTCCGCAAGGTGAGGCCCAACGCAGTCTGCATGATCGGCCTGTAGGGAGGGACGGCCCTGATTATGGACTTTGGACAGACCTCATGTCTCAAGCCTCCTAGGATGCTGAGAGTATCGGCTCTTACAGAATTAAAATCATTGTCTTGCTTCTACTAGGGAAAAATAATCCATGCTGGTATCAACAGTTTAAACATAACTTAAATTGACAGCAGCACCGATTGAGGTTTTGTTGCCTTGTAACCGAGACATTTTATTTTCTATTAGCCAGTCTTTAAACACTGCCCTTACCGTGTTCCTGTTGAATGGTTACTTACTGTCCGTCTTCTTTACTGGGGACAGTTTAGCAATCATCAATCCAAAGTTTTGTGCTCTCCACAAAAATATGTTGTATCTCCAACAAAGCAATGACTTTCATCGGTCTGGTTTGTCTGGTCAAAAATGATGGAGAGCTTGGCTTTTGAAGGAAGTCCCAATTTTGTATGGTTCAGATGAGGTTATATATCTCCTGTTTGGCCTTCCTATGGGGGGGAGCCATGGACCCATTTGCAATGGGAGACCTTACCAAGAACCATTGTACCTAACAGCCCAGCTCCCATGCAAACCCTTCAAATATTGATGCATACTCCTGGTACAGTAGAAATAGATTGTCCCTTTCAACCGTCACTATTGGGGAAAAGAGTATAAATCCATCAAAGGTTCCTAAAGATAATGTAATTTCTTATTATGTTTTCTTATATTTGCAGTGTTACAAAAAGATGGTCCAGTCCACAATGATTGTCAATGAGACGAATGATTTCCGAAGCACTCATGAAAATATGACTACTTCTACACCTTTGCAAAAAGATGGAACCATGGAGCACAATGTTCTACACATTTTTCAAGGTGATGGAACATACATTCCTGCACAAGAGATGAAACTAATATTCTTTCAGCCAGAAAATGATGACAATGCTCCACGAATTGGCCACTTGTTATTTGGATGCAAAAACGAGAAGTCCAAAATGATAGATGGCATCTGCAATTCAGAGGCTACAGGGATAAGTTTGATTGAAAAACATGGAAAGGATTTCTACAAATCTGTGAAAGGTATAGAGGTGGACCTAAACAAAAAAGCATGTGTTGTGGTTCCTGAAGTTGAGCATGATGAAATTAAAGCCATTCAAAGAAAGAAAGAAACGCCATGCCAAGAAAGCAATGAAGAACCTTCTCCAAAAGTAATTCATACAAATCATGATTCTACAAAGAAAGAATCGGGTATAGTCTGCAATGGAAGTCTTGTAGAAAATGAGAAGCCGTTATCTAGGAAGGAAGCTGTAGCAGTCTCACCAGGCAAGGATGAAATTGTTAAAGAAGATCTGGATTGTTCTACAGTACTCAAAGGTGAAGTAATCGAAGATGCCTCTGGAAAAGGAATTGGACTTGATCAGAAAGACAGTTGCGTTTCAGCTGTGGTCTCGTTAAAGCTGGATTGCATCAAAGAGTGTAGTCACAAACCACCATTGGTTGAGCAACAACCTGAGGCCAACCAGGAAAATGACAGGTCAGGTGAAAATGCGATGTCAGAAAATACAGAAAAAGCTCAATTAGAAATTAAGTCTATTTCTAAAGATCTTGCCGTCGAAGACATTTCAGAAATTGGTATCAGTTTGGCAGATAATGTGCATTATCAGATGGCATTATCACCCAGATCTGATGAGAAGAACTCTATTGTGGATGGCTCTAATGCAGATGGGCCTATTCCCCTGACCAAAGACCAATGTCAAAATGGAAGCAATAACAGAGTATTGGCAAACTTGACTCGGAGTACTCACAATCATGAAGACCAGGATACCAACTCAATTGAGGCAGAGAAAAAGGTTGTTGACGCAACTCAAAAAGAACTATTTCCTCATCAGTCTCAATCCCCTCAGTGTGAAGCTGAAGTGGCACTGATAAAGGAAACGGATGTCAATCAGATCTTCAAACCAAATAAGGAATTGGAAAAGATCTACAAGGGAATTGTCATTCCATTTATTGGAATCGACACCTCCCAAGAGGATGCAGAACAACCACACAATTCAAGCTCATTAGGCAATATTAAAGAAGTTGTCAAGGAAGGAGTACCAATGATCTGTGTTAGTACCTGCCCTGAAACTGTCCTTCCCACTGGGGTATGCAGTACATCTAAAATAAATATTAAAAAGGCAGAACTGTATGCTGAAAAAGTTTCTGGAAGTGAATCTGACGACCGGTGCCCTACCCCAACTATGGATGAGACACCATATCAGCACCCAACTGGCTCTGGCCCTATAAGTAGTAGTGTAACGACTTTTTGTGGCAGTGAAACCTCCAAAAACAGCAGAGGCTTAACATCCCTACAGAATGAGATGCCTAACAGGTCTACAGTTCACAGTGATGCCAACCCACATAATGATCTTGACCCTGATGTGGAACTAAGAACTCTTAGAGTTTTAAAAAGTATACACAAGTACTTCTCAAAATCAAACCATGTTGACACATCCAGCCAAATTCAAACAGCTGACAAACACTCTCCGGATAAAACCCCTAACCTCAGAAGCAAGTATATCCCCTCTGGCATAATGCCAAGCCACACATCATCTGACTTTGACGACAAGAAAATGAGCAATACAACGTCGACAATGACGTCAGCCTCTACCTCACAAGAACTGCACAAAGAATCAACAGCTCACATCCTTATAGCGCCTTTCAAAAGCAAACTAGAGGAAGTACTTGGAGTAAAGTTGCAGCTACAGGAAACTGAATCATCAGTTCATCAACTTCTCGAAATAAATGATAAATTACAAGAAACCTCCATTGGGCCAGATATGTGTCATCCCTCAAGATCCATTCCCTCCACTGAGAGTTTGCAAGACATTAATCAAAATACTGACCAAGATGAACATAACACAACATCCAAGACCAATTTAAGTCAGGAACCACGTTCATACAGTCAGCGTCCTATCATGGCAGTGAAACCTTCCAAGAGTGATGAAAGTAAAGGAGATTTCATTTCTAAAGACAAGCAAATGGAAAACACTGTAATGTCACATTTTTCGAAAAATGCAAAGACTAAATCCACAGAAGTTGCAATCAACACAATCCTTACCATGTTCTTGGAGAAAAAGACAGAAAGCCTCAAGAGAACTTCTGAAGGCCTTGATTATAAGCAAGGGGCTAGTGAGCTTCCTCCAAAGAGAAGTTTGTTATCAAGTGTTCGTGACAGTGAGCCCAAATCAGATAAAGATGAATTTATACTTCTAGATTCCTTCTGTCAGCACCAAGGAAGTGACATAACACAATTCAACAGGATTCCTTCACCATCTCTACCTGTGCACTCTTGTGATTCTGAGCAAAATTATTCTGGACTTGTTGATGGAAACCAAGGATTCATGACAAATGTTGAGAAAATTGGGCAAGCAACTAAACAGAGCATTGAGATGTATCAGAAAAACTGCTCAAATGCATCGACTTCAGATGCAGATTACAAACAATGTGGCGTAATAGATGACAGTCTTTCAATGGGACCTAACAGCTCACTCATGTGCACGGTCCATAATTCTAGCCAGGAGATATCTCCTTCTTTTCTGGAGCAGGTTTCTCAGAGGTGCATTCAAGATGACCCTACTGAGGCGTCAATGGAGAAGGAGTGCCTAATCTTCTCAGAACAAATGAAACTGCTTTTAAAAAGGAAGAACAGGGAACCCATTTGCCAACAGGACACGCATGATAAAGTGAATTTCTCATGCGTCAGTCCCATGACTGTGCACTTTAGCAGTCTAGAAGAGCAGGAGGATTCTTTGGATCCATTGGCACATTTGGATGCACCGTCATTTATTGGACATAAAATCAAGGTAGACCTGTCCGAGAGGAAAGATCTTGCAGTCTCTGCTGAAGAAGGAAGTACTTTGCATCCTCAGAAATTATCCCAAGAAACAGATAACCCAATGAAACATCCTGGAATTTCTGGTTTGAAATCTGAGTATGCCAGACTGTACAAGGCAATGATGAATGAAGTCTGCGATGCCAACAAGGTCTCACCTAGACCGAAGCACTTCCGAATGGATAGAGGTTACTCAAAGACTGAACCAAGTAACCATTTTGACTTCTGTGATCAAATGAAGAGAGAGATGGATGAGAGTTTTCGCAGCAATCTGAATTCAGTTGTGAAGAAATCCTGTAAAACAAAATACAGATTCTACATAATGGTGACGTCAGAGGAAGACTTCTTTGAAGAAACCAAGGTAAGACTAATTTAAAAAAACTTCAAATTGTGTATTTCTATAAAGCTTCTATTAACTATATTGTTTTGCTAACTAAAATGGTATGCTACCCAAACATATTTTTTGACAATGTAAAACTCATCCCTTGTTTAGAAAATTACCGTAAAACATATTTTGAGATTAGAGGTTTGGTCAGATGAAAATGAAATGTCTAAACAAAATATAACTGTCTACTATTCTTCTGAGTCCTCACTACCCCAGGACTATGATCTGTCCTACTGCACTGTGACCACCCCAATGCAATCCTTCTGTTGCATTGAGACCCTTGTGTTTCTTTGCTGTACATTTGCTACAATAAAACAAATTGTTTGTAAAGCCACTGTTAATAGTAATTTAACACCACAGTGAAAATAATGTTCCAATGTGGCAATTATAAGAATTTATTTCAAAACTACCTAAATGTGAACAATATCATTAAGGTAAGCTACGTTTTGATGATCTAACTTAATAACACACCTACGGAGACCAAAATAAAAAAGTCTCAACAATGCTTTTTTAAAGCAATGTCTTAAGCCATTATTGTGTGAATCACTTGAATACATGTGAGTCATATGCATGCAGGCGAGGCTGGGGACATTTCCATGTAATACCTTTTTACACCGTAAACATATTTTCACAGAAATCTGTCATGTCCACTAGTAACTTCTAATTTTAACATAAGGAAGTATCATTGTGAAACGTTTCTTACATTCTTTTTATCAAGCCTACGGTTATAACTGTTTCAAAATGAAAAGATACATTTTGGGTGGAGTAACTTTAAAAAAAAATCCAGAGATGGTTTTAAAAGGATTTTTTTAGCATTTCATGTTTTGTTTTATGTAGTGTTTCAATACATTTATTTGACCAGTTAAGGTTGTTTGTCATTTTGTAAATGAAAATAATTTAACAACCTCATATTGCCCTTGAATTAGGGGTGGGCAACATTGAAAAATATAATATCACGATATTTTTCAAGCTGTATCACGATAGACGATATTTATCACGATATTTTTTCATGTTGGTTATTATGGTTATTTTTCAAGTTACTTAACAGTACAACCACCTACAAGGTAACAAACTAAAATAAAAAGGAGTAACAGACCAAAATACCATTTCAAGCTGGTTTTAATTCTGCAATGATTCCCTGAATGAACAATTCAACAGGAATTTTGATATGGCTTCCTCAGTGATCAAGTAGGTAGGCCTACACCCTACACAACAAACTTTAACACTGGTTTCTTCACCAAGTAAAGTGCACTCTCTTGCTAAATAAAATAAAAATATTCAAGGCACAGTTTCTCAGTATAAAAATTCACTTTCTGTTCTAGGTAGCACTAGCAGTGATGTAACATCAATAAACATGAAAAGGAGAGTAAAACATAACTAAGTAAAACATAAAACATCAATGAGGGAAAGTCAGTGCCAAACAATTAAAATGTAAACTTTAGACTTGAAGTGCAATCAAAGTCTTTAGCATAACCTAACATCTGTTTCAAAAGGGAAAAACAATATAAATACCTTATTGATAATATAAAATATAAGCCAACAGAATCAACCAAGACAATAAATGAAGTGCAATACTGTCTGAATCCTGACTAGACAGCTTGGTTTTTATTAACCGTTATCAGTATTTAGTTACTTCGGCATCATTTTGAAACGTGTATTACAATTAAATCACGGTAAAATAGGTTAATTTTGTCGTAGTTGGTTTCCACCACAGTATTTGCATGGATATAAGCCCCGCCCCCTCTCCAGCGCGTCCTGTTTGAATGACAGGAGTAAACACAGCTGACAGCCGTGGTGAAACTCCAGCGGTTAGGGTGAGAATATTCGCATAGCGTCCGTTGTGAACGCAGCATAACGCAGTTCAGAAACCACTGTTCTAACGCTTTTAAAGCAACTTCGAGATTTTTAACAGTATCAGGGGCACGCAGGCCGATGGTGGCCGTAGGACGTACTAATTATTTTCGGGGCGTTCACGGCCAGACCGGACCGGTCATGGCCGGCCATGAAAATACCTACCCTCGTTTGCACTATCACGATAGAATATGATATCTC